GTGACTTCACACCTCACAATTGGGAAGATAATGGCCAGGTCCTGACCTCTGCTGACTTCTGCCAACGTAGTGGCTCCCACTGTGTGAATGGTGATTCTCGGGCCCGCCAGCAATTCTCAGGACTGTTGCATCTTGTTAACGGTTTTCAATGGAGTTTTCCCATAGTCGCCNTCAAGGCAAGAGTATAGGCTCAATGTGCTGGAAGTGGGGAATGTCTCCGATAAAGCTTTCTAGGTAATCAGGACCCTGACTGTAGCCATAACAAAACTCATTTAGCATTTCCGATTGCCTGCGTTTGATTCTATTGTACACCCCGTGAAGATATCCTAGCTACGGTACAGAGAAACTCCTGATCGTGAGACTCCAAGAAGAAGCAAAGAACACTCGACCTAGTCTGCGGGGATACCCTTCGATCGTTGGTTTCCTGAACCACCCGGGAGTTAATGAATCTCGTCCCTTATTAGGTATTCTGACAGCGCTACGCCAATCCCCACTGGAACAGCTTTCATCGGACAGTGGGTAAGGGGGTTGACGACCAAATTAGGTAACAACCTCTCGAGGGTCTGGCGCCATTTGCTAGACCCAAATCGCGTGCATGTATCTGCAAATTGCCCCTTGGATATCGTTCGCCATCTGTCACATCGAATTCTGACCACCAACCCGGACCTCGAAACGATTCTCGTAAACCATCAACCGCGATTCGTTCAGTTGTCAAGGTAGCGATGGAGTCCCTTACGATGGAGGTGACCTTATATGCGAGTCAATAGCATTTTATTGCGTCCAACCGCGATTGTTTGCTGATCTTTTGGCGTTGTCAGCGGGGGAAACACAAAAAAGTACGACAGTAAATACACTTGGCAAGGTCAACGACGACCGTATGGCATATGAGGTCCTAAGAGGATTTTCTGTGAAAGAATTCGGTTGTGACCTCTCGAGCACGTAACATACTCGCACAGCTGTTCTTCTCGTCTGCCTCTTATAGATTGCCAAGATGAATGGACTGCAACTGGCCGGTCACTGATCGTCATCATCTGAGTAACCCTCAACAGCTGTCTAAGGCACTTCTCATAATGACCGATTGGGTGACTTCACACCTCACAATTGGGAAGATAATGGCCAGATCCTGACCTCTGCTGACTTCTGCTAACACAGTGGCTCCCACTGTGTGAATGAAGATTCTCGGGCCCGCCAGCAATTCTCAGGACTGTTGCATATTGTTAACGGTTTTCAATGGAGTTTTCCCATAGTCGCCAAGTTATTAGCAACGCTGTCAGTCACTATGAATAGCGAGAGCCAATCGGACAATGAATAGCGTGAGTTACGGAGCCTCGAAGTGCTGACGAGGTCGACCCTGTATCTCATCCCCGTCGCTCGACTTTGTTTGTCATGATGGCCTCCGTCTGACTGGGCCGATAGGGTGCCTGTTATCAGCTGGAAGACGGCCAGCGGTGTTCCTTCCATTGATGACTAAATAATTGCTGGGTGTTATCACCCTCTCTCTCACACACAATCATGCACGGCTTGGGTATAATCAGACAACGGCTGTCCAGAGACGGAACGGTTCCGCTAAGCACAGTGCCAATTGGCACGTCCTTTTGGGTCGTCTGTACGGGAAATGGACTTGATGAATCAGCGGAGGCTTCGATGCTTTGTTCCTGGGCATACGATAGCCTTTCAGGATATCGATTGCGTTTAGGGCGTTTAGTTGATTTGATTCGTAGTTGCATCAGTACTGGGGAGGGACAGGGACTGACCTTCTGAGAGTTTTCAGAAATTAGAACAGGGAGAAATACAGCTGTTCGGCCTTCTGCCAGAAATAAGTTTCCCGTAAATTGACACTCGTAGAGCTCATGGATGTTCCTAACCTCTGTTTTCATAAGATCAGGCCCTTACTTGAAGTCAATCGTCGGGACGTCCATCCCTTTTGGATTACGATCAGCAATGGTTAACCACTTATGGAGGAAGAAGGGATCAGCGAAGGAAGAGAAAATACGGTCGAGCACAAGCAGGAGTACAGGCTCGGGACCACCAACAGACGTCAGATTACAGCTAGCGACAGCTAACCAGTTTGGAATGAAGAGATGTTCTCAGTGGGGGTTCGATGGAAGGGGAAGGGGAAGAGCCTAGTCGGCAAGATGCCATTTCTCTTCTTTTGCTTTCGCATCCGCGCCATTTCGTCCGACCACATGTTTATGCGCGAAGCCCTGGCGCCTCTCCGTAACTTTCTCCATATGCTTGATATTAAATGCCCTGTCTGGGGAAGGGACATTCCATATGGGGAAAGTCTGGTTAGCCCTCTAAATTGGAACGATCCCCACGACCGATCGGTGAAACCACTTTAGACGTGGTGTCCTTATTGAAACCAGAGATTCGTGTCGTTTTTTTTCTCGCCCAGGTGACGATTGCATGCGTCATTTGAATTCGGCACTGGGCCGAGATCGTTGTGAAGCGTGAAATGGTGATGGGAATCTGGCACTGAACCCAGCCGACCACGGCCGTCGACTCGTCGTGACGGTCATCTGTCCCCACACATCAACTTCAGCGTTTTACTTGACCGCCCTGATCCTTCTCCTGAAGATGTTCCCATTCAAACCATCTCATTCCGGAAAGTGTGGTTATATATAGGTGGGAGGGCAAGTGCTTATCCAGCGATACCAACTAAAGCCAGTCAATGGGAAAGGCACCCTCAAAGCAGTTCAGGCGCTATTTTCCCCTAACTGTTCTATTCACGTATTCGAGGGGCTATATTTAGCCATATCAAACCTAGAATAGGCGACATTAACCCTGAACAATGCCATTCTCTCCTAACACTATCTCTTATCGATGCCCGAGATAGGAAGTTCTTCAAGCGGCCCGTCGCGTAACCTTTAGAACCTGTTATCAATGGGAACTCACTAACTGTTCGGGCGAAGAACGCCGTTCCTAGGCGGTTGATGTCGTTTTGAACCACGGGAACCCTGTGCCAACAGAAAAACAATGATCAGACAGATTACGAATGCAGGACTGGCTAGAATAGGCTTTTTTAATAGGATGATAAATTGCTGTGTAAACTAGCTTAGTTCACTGCCAAATGACGAAAGTGCAAACTCAAATCCGTCGTTTTGACCATCCAAATGGGTTAATGTTTACAGACCATAAGAGGAAACTAATCATCCGATTGTTTTGGCAATTTCGTGAATGCTGACGGAGGTGTTTTCTTTCGATAGAAAAGAAATGACCACGGAGCATGACAGTGGACCACCCCTAAGCCTCAGAGTACGCTCATAAGAACTATACCCGGAACACTTCCTTTCTACAGTTAGGTGCTTCTCAGACTTCCAAATGATCCCTAATCGGAGTGAATCCATATGTAAGCGGTAGCCTCTCTGAGGATCTCATTGGTCGTTTTGTTTTTTCCCAGTAGCAGTCAGACTCAGACCGGTATGATTCCCTTTTGAAAAAAGCAGGAGTTCTCCAGGTATGCGAGCGAGCGTTTATGGATCATTTCGATGTGCTCTGATTGCGGTCCGAAGCTCGTCCGTAAGAACACCGCCGCCGTCGCCAATCGCTCGTAAAGCAGCGAACACTACAGCGCAGATTTGTCCTCGTTCTCCCCTCCTTAGACCTACCAGCCACCCTCTTTCATCGATCCTTTCTGGTTCCCTCACCATCCTGTGGGAAATTCCGAATCCTTAACGAGATCGGGTCATCTTTATGCTTCCGACAGCCGATTCGTCATAATCTTCCGATGAAATTAGGTTGCGGCCGACTACAAAAGGCATGTCTGATTAACAGAGCATGTAGCCGAGTCGCATCTTCAAAAGGGCAGGTGCCACACCGAATAGCGGACAGTGTGGAGAGAGTGGGAGACGTCCGGATGGCAGAGGTCGAGCGACCGCTCTATTGTGTTTGTTTACAATGGCGGCTTTACTCATTAGAATTCAGCGAGTAACCGGGGCGGACGTTTATCTCGGCTCTAATAAAGCAATATGGCCGACGGTGACCCGATATCCTCGGTCCTCACTAATCCCTTGTCTCACCGCAGACCTTTTGAACAATGTCAAGAGTCGACGGACGGGATGCATTCCGGCACTGGACGACAGTGTCAGGTGGTCACCGTGGGACTGAATCGCACTCTGTGGAAGCCGCTGTAAAGCGCAGCGGTCAAATCAGGTCAGAACAGCCGCCGTCGGTGAACGAGGAATTCTGCTCGACCATTAAAGACGACCGACCATCGAGGAACTTGATGAGATGCACTGAAGCTTGCATAACGAATCACTTTGCGCCAATGCTTGCACTTTCAGGCTGGGCGATCGCTAGAGATCGGAGGGCTGGTCTTAGCTAGGACCTCACTATTATTTGGTGCTTTTGTAAAGAATTGGTCTGAGCCATGAATTCATGAACAGGTCAAGAATACAAAGAGAGAGACCTCTGTGGAGTCCGCCAGACCGACGACTTAGGGCATGGTTCTTCTAGAAAAAGGGTAATGGTGCTGTATGGCTTCAGTTCGAAGCCGTTTTTCCTTCAGAGACGTCAAATGAACTCAGCCATGGTAGAGAATGGCAATGTGCAACCATTGCAGAGCTACTCCCTTCCTGATGGAAGAGGGGAGTTGTTTCCGCGACGGGACCTTACCCGACCAACATAAATCAGTGAACATAAAGTGCAATTTTTTTTGAAGACAGAGTCATGTTGCTGTGAGTCTTGATTCATCTGGAAGGAGACATTCCTGTAAGAAGGTGCTCACGTCAAGATCCATCAACTAAGTGACGTTCGCCATCTAGGCCGAGGTCAGGGTGAGTGAGTGACCACGATGACGATAATTTTTTTTACGACAACCAAGATCGGTTCGAAATATGTTCAGGTGTGGGTGTGTGTGTGTGTGACAGGGTGTGGTAATAAGTGGGGGTTAGGTTGGGTAATTGTGATGTGGTTAATGACCACGTCGTCCAGCACCACCACTCATCGCATTATGCAACGCTCGTCATGATCGGGTCGAGCGAGCCAAGCCAACGAGCGATTGACGACAATCGATGGATGGAGTGGGGGGAGACCCGACATAAGCCATTGTTGGATAATCCGACTCGCTAAAGGTCAGACATCACAATCGCTAACGCTTCGTAGCAGCGTAACTCACAATTTCCAAATCGGATGGCTAGCCGATTTTGGTCCCGGTAGGTTTAGTTTCGACCAGACTAGAATGGGAATCTGATTCGTTTCCGTTGAACCTACTGGGCTGACCTCTTGTGCAAGGTGCGCTCGGCGAGGACAAAAAACACCACTAAGGTCGTGCTCGGGCAGCAGTTTTTGCAGGCCGAGCTCGTAAATTCGCGATCAGCAAAGCGTTCAGACGAGCTTGGTCGACTGCCAAGGTCTCCCATCCCGTCCAGCCAGCTTTTGCTGTGGCTATTCACCCCGTCTGCGACCACGAATCCATTCATCGCACTATTGATCGCTATCACATCGCATATCAATGAGATACGACTGTTTACAGAGTGATAACTGTGCGCCACCTGCACCCACCTGTAGCCGTTGTGATTGAGGTGAGGTGTGTCTGACAATACGTCGAACGCCAACGTCTATCGAAAACCCCAAAAAAATAGGAATAAAATCTATTTATCTGTTGATTTTCAGTACTTAACACTTTGCACATATGACGACGAAGAGGAAATAGAAATACATAGATAAGGAAGATGAAGAACGTACTAAATCACTTGACACACAGTGACTGCTAATGACATCACTTTGAAAACATTTGGCAACAATATAGGCCGATAAATAGATAGCTTAGAAAGCGTATGAAAGGAAAAAATGTGTAGAGTTGAAAAGAAGAAAAGCTAAGAACCCGAAGGAGCTTTGGATTCGCTCTTTGGTATCACAGGGAAACAATAAATGTGAGAGAAACTGCTAGAGATTTCCCTCAGACTAGTTGGCCGGGCTTTCAGACACGAGTCACTAGACGTCCACTCTCAGGAAGTACGATATCCAATCGTTTTGGTGAATGTTGAAGGCGCTTCTTACGAACGACCATGTAGTCTGAAAAGGAGAACGACGATAAAATGTGTACCGTATACCCCCGTAGTGGGACGGAAAAAGGCACATTTATCAAGACACTTGGTTCTGATTGGCCAATACTGGGGGAAATGGGGGCCAAATACTTACCCGTGACTTTCCCATGGCGTTTCTTTGGTGTAGCATGTTCACGTTTAGCTGGTGTGATCGGACTCATACAGATGTCCATCATCGACGAATCCGAATCATCCGAATTGCACAGCTCAATTTGGTTTTCTTTAGTCGGCGAACTGACTGTCGATGAAACCGATGAGATGTGTTTTGTCCTGAAATCAACAGAGCCAATTACTCGGCCAAAATATAGTAGCATGTCTGTAAAATGTAGAGACAAACCTGTAGAACTCAGGAACACTGTCTTCCCCGATAGGGGTGAACTCGTACTCAGATGTCCCAGGAATGGGCGTTTCGCATGAGAAATTAAATCCCCATTTGGCTTGTTCCTTGTTTCGAATCTCTTCCAGTCGTTCGCTGAGCCATTGCTGAGTAAGTGCCGGATCGGCACGGCCAAATAGACAGCGTCGAGCGGATCGTTTCGTTTTGGCCGATGATGAACTCGACGATGATGACATTCTGAAAACGGAAACACTAAGGATTTCGGCATATTACTCACACGATTACGGTGTTAGCGATGATGACGGCGAAAGCACGGAGTATTCAAATGAGACGAAGTCGTTTCGAGCAAAATGCAAATGAAAAGCGAGGAATGCGAACAATTCATGGGAGGAACAGGGTCGGAAGCTCAACACAGAGAAAGAGAGACTGAACGAGGCCGAATTGACAATTTGTGGGGATATGGTTGGTCGGCTGGTCGCCCGGACATCGGCCGACCATATATGCGGTCGCAGCCGTCGGGCGGATATTCGAATGGCCGACTCGTAATTGTAGGGAGGGGTCAGCGCAAAGGGTACGAGAGGTCAGATGGTCCGCCCGAGTCAACACAAATACGGATCGGATTACTCCGAAACAGAACAGGGACTTTGACCATAGCGCGCTGTGAAGGGACACCTGAGCTCACCAGACAGGAAGGGGCAAATGTCGCGGCCGATGGTGGTCGGCGGCGATGTTTGGTAAAC